ACCATAACCTTCTTCAAGTAATCGATGAACTTCTGCTACACTTTTTTTCAAATCAAAATAGTGCAAAAGCACATGTCGAAAAAACACTTTATCGCGTTCCATTTTTCACAAAGCAAAAGAAATTGTTGTTTAGGAAAATAATTGTGTATGCTGACTGAATGTTATCGAGAAATGTCGAAATTAATCACAAACTACCTGTTTCGTTAGTAATGACTACTAGAACTGTTTGCATTTCCATCTAACATTTGCGGGCGGAAACTAAGTTAAGGTCCTAATAATTATAACCTGGATTGATGTTGATATTGAGCAATGCACATTACATTACATTGCAGACCTGTGTCTCCGGTAGCTACAGCAGTGTGCCTGGTGACTGCAACAGTTACCGAGCGTGTCTGTGGGGTCGACAAGAGGTGTTCAGCTGCCCGCCAGGGTTACACTTCAACAAGCAGACTCGCATCTGCGACTGGCCGCTCCTCGCGAAGTGCACGGAGGAGAACGACAACGCGGAGGTAACGACGCAACGGCCTTTGTCGACGGCGACCACGAAGGCGCCCATTCCGCCGCAGGTCTCGCAGGAGCCGGTCACACAGGCGGTTGTCACTACGGAGAAGGCGCCGGTTACGTCCACCACGGTTCCTCAGCCCACCACGGCCACGACTACGACGACTCAACCCACGTCGACCTTACCCTCCGCGATCATAGACCCTGACAAGGTGTCCCCGTTGTCCGGCCACTTCAAAGTTGTTTGCTACTTCACAAACTGGGCCTGGTACCGTCGAGGAGTCGGCCGTTATTTGCCCGAACACATAGATCACACTCTGTGCACGCACATCGTCTATGGCTTCGCGGTGTTGGACTACTCGGAGTTAGTCATCAAGGCGCACGACTCATGGGCGGACTTCGACAATCGTTTCTATGAGAGAGTGGTAGCATACAAGAAGCGCGGTCTCAAGGTTCTCTTAGCCTTAGGCGGGTGGAACGACTCAGCCGGTGACAAGTACAGTCGTCTGGTGAACAACCCGAGCTCCCGGAAGAAGTTCATCGAACACGCTATTCGATTCCTCGAGAAATACAACTTCGACGGGTTGGACTTGGATTGGGAGTATCCCGTATGCTGGCAAGTGAATTGCAACAAGGGCCCGGACTCGGATCGAGAGGGTTTCGCGGCTCTACTGCAGGAGCTGAGCGCCGAGCTGAAGCCGAGACAGTTGCTCTTGACAGCCGCGGTGTCGCCCAACAAAATGGTCATCGACAAAGGCTACGACGTGCCTGCACTGGCCAAGTACTTGGACTGGATCGCGGTCATGACGTATGACTATCATGGACAATGGGACAAGAAAACGGGGCATGTGGCGCCCTTATATTATCACGCGAACGACGAGTTCCACTTCTTTAACGCCAACTACACGATCAATTACTGGATCTCAAAGGGCGCACCGCCAAGGAGCATCGTCATGGGGATGCCGTTGTACGGTCAGTCCTTCTCGATCAATGATCCCAGAGCCAATACCGGTCTGAACTCGCCTGCGAGCGCCGGGAACGCCGGTGAGTTTACCAGAGCTGCCGGCTTCTTGTCGTACTACGAGATCTGCGATCGCGTGCGCAATCGTGGATGGACGGTTGTGCAGGACCCGGAGGGGAGAATGGGCCCATACGCCTACAAGGGTAATCAATGGGTCAGCTTTGACGACCCCGACATGATTCGCAAGAAGGCACAGTTCGTGCGCGATTTGGGACTAGGCGGTGGTATGATCTGGGCTTTGGATCTGGACGATTTCCGTGGACGATGCGGCGATGGGCCACACCCGCTCATGCATGTGCTTCAAGAGGTATTAGCGAGTCCACCTAACGAACAAGACAAACCCCTGGAGCCACCATCAGTCGGGCAGGACTTGGACTGGAAGCCGCCAACGACGACAATGATACCGATAACCACCTTGTCCGAACAAACAGTAAAGCCGGTGGATCGCGTGAACGACGATGCCAAGAACAAGTTTAAAGTCATTTGTTATTTCACTAATTGGGCCTGGTACCGACAAGAAGGTGGTAGGTTTGTGCCGGAAGACATAGATCCTGACCTGTGCACCCACATTCTCTACGGATTCGCCGTGTTGGACGGCTCGACTCTAACGATGAAATCTCACGATCCATGGGCCGACATAGACAACAAGTTCTACGAGAAAGTGGCGGCTTTCAAGTCGAAGGGCCTGAAAGTACTCATGGCGCTCGGCGGTTGGAATGACTCGGAGGGCGACAAGTACAGCCGACTGGTGAACTCGCCGTCGGCCAGACAAAAGTTCGTGGCGCAGGTGTTGCACTTCATCGAGAAGTACGGCTTCGAAGGTCTCGATCTCGACTGGGAGTACCCGGTTTGTTGGCAGGTCGACTGTAAGAAAGGTCCTCAGTCGGACAAGGAAGGCTTCGGTCAGCTGGTGAAGGAACTGAGCGACGAGTTCAAGCCGAAGGGACTGCTCCTCTCCGCGGCGGTCTCGCCGAGCAAGAAGGTCATCGACGCGGGATACGATGTGCCGGTTCTCTCCAAGTATTTGGACTGGATATCCGTCATGACATATGATTTCCACGGGCAGTGGGACAAGAAGACCGGACACGTGGCACCGTTGTACAGTCTCCCGAACGATTGGGAGCCCACATTCAACGCCGTAAGTTCTTATTATTTAATTATCAATATACCAAGAAAACGTATCTCCGAGATTTCAATCGGGGTCTCACGATTGTCGAGCAGAACTTCTCGATTCATTACTGGATCGAGAAAGGAGCAGACCCGAGGAAGCTGGTGATGGGCGCTCCATTATACGGACAGTCGTTCTCGTTGGCGGAGAGAAACGAGCACGGGCTGAACGCGCCGACATACGGCGGTGGCGAAGCCGGGGAGGCAACCAGGGCGAGAGGATTCCTGTCGTATTATGAGGTGAATTCTCGTCAAATACTCAGAGAGAAACAGACAGAATTATCTGGCAATATTTATCTCAGAAACAAAATATTCGAAAATCTACTCTAATTCTCTGCTATCATGTTCCAGATATGCGATAGGACGCTGAAGAAAGGATGGACAGTGGTTCAAGACAAAGAGAGAAGAATCGGTCCCTATGCATATAAAGGTGATCAGTGGGTGAGTTTCGACGACGCTCAACAGATCAAACTGAAGGCGGAGTTGATCAAGAAACTCGGCCTGGGAGGTGGCATGGTTTGGGCCTTGGATCTGGACGACTTCAATAACAGATGCGGCTGTGAGCCTAGTCCGCTGCTGAGGACGATGAATCGAGTTTTGAGGGACTATCCGAAGGGTCCGCTGTGTCCCGTCACGGGCGGTGAGTCTGTTGATCACTTCTATCAAAGCAGGGTTGCGAGTAATTAAATTTTTGTATTATTAATAATGTTTTCCTTATAGAAATATCATACTAAGAATCATTGATAATTACTTATTATCCAGTATTTTTAATAACGAAAATAAGTAATTATCAATGATTCTTAATATGATATTTCTATAAGGGTTATTTAACAATTGATATGAGTCAATTCAATTGGCCGTTTAACTGATAACTGATTTCAACAAATTCAATCGAAGACAACTGAGTCGACGACTAATTCCAACGAATTCAGTCAAAAACCGTTCGACTGACGATTGATATGAGCGGAGAGAATTAAAAGTCGTTCAATTAATAATACAGGCTCACAATTTAAAAAAAGTTATCTGTGCTGAGGGTCTGACCAAGTGTACTATACGTATTTTGGGCTGCCGAATCCAAATCCGGTGTCAGATTTGCTCCATCACCCTTGAGTTTCCCGGAAAATCGAGGAAATCGTGAAAAGGAGCAGATATCCATGTTTTTACGGAGATATGTATTCAAGGAAAATTCTAGAGTGACGAATAACCCTATAACCCCACAACCAACGTTGAAAATACATTATGTACTTCAACATCTGATGATTAGAACAACCCAAAAACCCAATAACCCATATACCATCATACATATTCGGTTTTAGTTCACCCATCAATCCTTTAACATCGCATAGATTAGAAAATCTAATCTGTGCGTGCCTTATTATGGTCACATTCATGTTATTGTCCACGAGATGGAGTCTTTTTTCTGTTCGAAATATCAATTCTACAATATATGATCGTCGATCAGATAAATCCTGCTGCTTCAGAGGATGTTAGAGACGATTACAACTGCCCCGTAAGAGGATGAGTAGAATGATTCGTTTTCCATGTTGAAGTACATAATGTATTTTCAACGTTGGTTGTGGAGTTATTCGTCACTCTAGAATTTTTCTTGAATACATGCCTCCGTAAAAACCTGGATATCCTTTTCACGATTTCCTCGATTTTCCGGGAAACTCAAGGGTGATGGAGCAAATCTGACACCGGATTTGGATTCAGCAGCCCAAAATACGTATAGTACACCTAGTCAGACAACCCCCAGCACAGACAACTTTTTTTAAATTGTGGGCCTGTGTAATTGAACTTAACAAATTAAATTAAAGGCGGTTTAATTGATATGCAAATTTAATCGATTCTTATATGATTTTTCTCATACGTCACTTAGACAACATCCTTTGCAATTTGCAGACACAGAATCGATCATGATCGACGTCGGTGAAAGCGGCATTGAGTCCACGACTGTCACGGAAGGCCCGATATACGAATCCACCACGTCGTCGAAACCAACGTATTTGCCACCACTGTCAACAACTACAACGACGACGCCATCGCACCAAGAGGATATCGACGATACTGTCGAGGTGGAAGCCGGCCCAGCACCTCCGGTTGCCACACCGATTGGCGACTGCGGCGGACGTTTGTTCATACCCCATAAGAGCGATTGCAACAAGTACTACCTCTGTAACTTCGGCAAGCTCACGGAACACTCTTGTCCACCAAAACTCTACTGGAACGAGGATAGATGTGATTGGCCGGAGAACAGCAAGTGCAAGAACGTTCAACGTCAAGTACGTATGGCGAATAAATAAAATATTCGACGAGCTTTTGAGTATCTAACCAAACATATGTGAAGTTATCATATTCTCTTCGTGTAATTGTTGTTTTGTTGTGAAGAAGACTACTAAGGTCCACTTTCTCAATTTCGCAGATCGGCGAAGCGGTCGCAATGAGAGTCAGCGAGAACATCAACAAAAAAAAGGTGGTTTGCTATTATACGAATTGGGCTTGGAGGCGAGCGAGCGTCGGCAAATTCCTGCCGAAGGACATCAACGACGAGCTCTGCACGCATGTTGTGTACGCTTTCGCTACGTTGAACATACAGAGACTGTCGGTGAACATCGAGGATTCGGTCGACATTTACAACGACTTCCTGACCGAAATGGTGGAACTCAGGAAGAAAAGCAACATCAGAGTGTCGCTCGGTTTAGGCGGCTGGAACGACTCGAATGACGACAAGTACAGCAGACTGATCGGCAACAAGTCAGCCAGAAGGAAATTCGCCCATCGCGTCGCGCAATTCGTCGAGAAGCACGGATTCGACGGCATGGACCTCGACTGGGATTTCCCGGTTTGCTGGCAGGTAGAATGCAAAGGGTGTCCCTTTCTCACTAAATTTCCTAGAATAAAATTTCACTCGAAAAGTAGAGTGGCCACCAAGTCACTCGAATTCAAGTGATTTCTCTCTTATATGAAATGAGTTCTCTACTCTGAATCGTCCAAGTGAACATTCCCACTCGAATGTGAAGAGTGTATCTGCTGTACAGTGAATTGCAAAACAATTTAGAACATAATGAGAGAAAACAACTCGATACTCGACGACCAGTCGCGAGACACACTTGTCAAGACGCGCGAACGTTTCAGGCCGACTGCAGCCGCGGCCCGCGCAGCGACAAGGAAGGCTTCGCGATGCTGTTGGAAGAGCTCAGCACGGCGTTCAGGTCCAGAGGACTGCTGTTATCCGCCGCGGTCTCGGCCAACAGGGTCATCGTCGACCTCGCTTACGACGTGCCGTCCTTGGCTGAGTACCTCGACTGGATCGCCGTGATGACGTACGACTATCACACCTCCGGGGAAGGCGAAACCGGCCACATCGCGCCGCTCTCCACCTACCCCGGTGACGGTACTTCACACCTGAACGCGAACTACTCCGTGAGATATTGGCTCGACAAGGGCGCTCCGCCCGAGAAGCTCGTCATGGGTATACCCACTTACGGGCAGAGCTTCACCTTGTCCGAGACGCCGCGGGACACTCGCGCCGTACCAGGCTTGCATGCGAAGGTCTCTGGACCTGGAGAACCCGGCAAGCTCACCAGGTCGGCTGGTTTCTTGGCTTATTACGAGGTAAGACACGCTTGATAGGCGCTATAGATAAATTACTGGCAAACACTGCGACCTCGCATATGTTTTGTAATTTAATTAATAATATAGATGACAGAGATAGAATTTTTATCCGAATGCAAAATTTAGCAAGAGAAATACTCGCTGTGCTCGCTACATTGTAACTCTTCTGCATTGTAACACAGATATGCGATCATGTGAAGAACGACGGATGGTCGGTGGTGAGAGACCCGGAGGGTCGTATGGGACCGTACGCGTCAAAACGCAACCAGTGGGTTAGCTATGATGACGTGTCCACCGTGGCGAGGAAAGTACGTGTGATTAAACTTTTTAAGTGAATATCTAACGTGAATGGAGAGAAGAAAGGCCTGCGAAAGTCTGCGTACGAATTTTATAACGCAATGAACTGGAAAACTATCAATTTAAATTATCGTCCACTAAAATGATAATTTCATTTATTCAATAAAGCCAAAGATTTTGAATTATAAAATCGCTGAGCTTTGACTCATCATGCGTTGCGCGAAGAGAACTGAAGGAAATATAATTTTTAATTTTCCTAATGATCTGCTCGATCAAAACGCTTTGTTTGCTTTTAGGCCGATCTCATAAGGGAGCTGAACCTCGCCGGTGGAATGGTGTGGTCCATGGACCTCGACGACTTCAACAATCTCTGCGGCTGCGGCAAGTTCCCGCTGTTGACAGCGTTGAATCGCGGGCTCCGGGGAGGAGCCCACGATCGCGGATCGACGGATTGCACCTGAACCGCATCTCAGATTAACAGAGTAAGAGGGTGACGCGTGTGATCTTCGAGGAGGATCTGCGTGCGCGCATTATCGTCACCGTCTTACGACCCTTCTCCTCGATAATGCCGCTGATTCTCTCGTCTATTATCCGTGCATTCTGCGTTCTTCGCGGTCGAATTCCCGTCAATGATGCCGCCAGGCGACACGTCCTCTTAAGCGTCTTCTACAATGGCAGTAGAAGTAGTAGGAAGAAATAAGCAGTAAGTAAATTGACCAATTCCATTCTTACGTTTCAAAAAATAATCGATTGTAATTGGTCTATTTACTTACTGCTTATTTCTTACTACTACTCCTACTGCCATTGTAGAAGACGCTTTAAGGGACGTCTACATTGGAAGTAAACAGTAAAAAGTAGGAAGTAAGAATAAGAAATTGACCAATCATAGTTATTCTTCTCACATTCGACTGTGGTTGGTCAATTTCTTACTCTTACTTCCTACTTCTTACTACTTACTTCCAATGTAGACGTCCCTTTAAACTGACGCTTCGAGCGAGCTTTAGTAACCGGCCTCTTCATTTCGAAGAGGCAACACGATGAAGCGTACATCTGTTGTTCCACGTGTGTCGCAGATGTTCCCCTTGAATTCGTTCGCCGAATGAAGAGTCGAGGATAACGCTAAGTCACGTTGCAGTTGCTCAGTGTGAGAGAAATCGTCAATCGCGACCTACGTTCTCAATTTTCAAGTAAACGTCGACGACAGAACTGTCGGCAGTGTCGTTAAAGAAGCTTCCGCGCGCGCATGATCTTGATGTTACGGCAATTAATATCAAGACACTCCATTTCCGCATTCTGTTCCTTATTCTCGTAAACGAAGAGGCGAGTCCCGGCGAGGCCAGTCAGTTGGCTAGATTGACGCGACGAATTTTAACTTTTAAACGACGATTACGTGAGATTCGTGTGACATTGACACCGCGTGTAAAAAGGCATGTAAAAAACTCCGAATAGATAAGATATATTACGTTACGTTAACATGTTACTATAATTCGTTCAATAACTGCGTACTGTAACACTCTTCCGGATGACGTGAAGGAGGAGAGACTCGCGAGGAAGATGAAGAGCGGAGAGAGTGGTGCAGAAACAGAAGAAAGTGCAAGGCGATATGTATCGCTTTGAATTCTTCTTTTTTTTTCTATCACGTCATTCGCGAAGATTAAAATGCTCGTTCATTATGGCGTGAGCGTTTTGTAATTAAAATTGCGTTATTTTCTCACGACTGGTCAAGTATATGACTGATCGGTAGGCACTTCCGGAATTGTAACGATAAGATAATTAAAGGGAAACGATAAATTATTTATGCGGTTCATTTTATAAGCACATTACTGATGGAAATTAATTTGCGTGATATGCGCACGTTCGAGCACGGGAAAGACATTAACAAAGTGGTGGACAAAAAAACTAGCAACAAACGAATGTATACTGCTCATATCTATCTAAATTTGTTTGCAGATATTGCTAAAATAATGCTGCTGCAAATTCCACGTACCACAGATATTTTTCTAGCAGATACACAAGAAAAACAACAACATTGAATTGTGACATTTAGGGCTAGTTTTTTTTTTCAATGATAGTTTAAACTTGGATTTTAAATTAAACTCTGTTTAAACAAAACAAACGTATTGTTTATAGAATAGAGTTTAAACTTGAATCCAAATTTAAATTGCTATTGAAAAACTTTAGAATTCTACCTGAATCAGCAGAATATTTCTTTAGTGATGTTTGAATGATACTCTCGGTGCTGAATGACGTAAACGAATCCTACAGCTCTCTCAAGTATTCGTTTTGCCACAACAGAGAGACAGCGATCTCCTTTCGGTTGAAGACGACTATATATGAAGATACACTCAAATGAATATTGCAATCATAAGAACAGTGACTGTAAGAACTGCATCGATGGGCATTTAACAACAGCAACTAATCATAAAGAATGTGGATGTAGCAATCGTAGCAGTTTTCTTCGTGAGCGCATTTAGTTGGCCGGTGCGAATGTATCGAATATCTCAGGTGCAACCGCACCGAGCAAATTCATGCAAACAGATACACGTGGCGCTCACAAATAATGTTCGTCATGATCGAGAAAGTTGAAAAGACGGTGCAGAAGAAAGACAAACCGAGCGCGGCTGTGTAAACCGACTGCGATCGATTTAAAACTATGCAAGAAGAGCGATCTGACCGAGAGAAAAGGAGAATTGAGCAAACTCGTTCTGTCCATCAATATGATTTAATATTAGTTAAGGAACTCGTGCAGTCTCTTATCGCGAAACATTCGCGATCGCTTTCAATTATATTGATGCGTTTCCGTGTACAATCGAGTCTTTCTTCTTCTCAACAAACGGAAAGCCAAGCGCGGCTGTGTAAACTGGCCGCGATCGATTTACAACCGTGAAAGAAGTGCGATCTGAGCGAGAGAAAAGAAAAATTGAGCAAATTCACTGTGTCCATCAATATGATTTAAAATTAATTAAAGAACTCGTGCGGCCCTTCATCGCGGTCGCTTTCGATTATATTGACGCGCTTCCGTGTACAATCAAATCTTTCTTTATGAGGGCGTTTTCCGCAAATACTTGACTATCTACGATAATTATCTCGTTAATTATCTCGAGCGCACGATGAAAGCCGCCTTTCATATGAAAAGACTCGATCCTGTGGTTTTAAAAAAATCTGAACAATTTCCTTTGTATCGACACTCTTCCCAAGTCGATTTTAATCAATTAAATTTAATTTAATTCAATTTAATTTTGATTAGTTTCAAATAGATTGGAAATAAGTAGTAGAAATTTTTTGAAAAATGGGTAAGCTTTCAGCGTCCCTTTGATGAAAACGACAAAAAAATTATGACATTATACACGCTTAAGAGTCTACGCGTCAATAACAAAAATATAATTCTATTCTCGACGAAATCCTTTTAAATATGATTGCAAGAAAATTCTTTTAATGAACTAGATTGGAAGACTTGTGCACCGCGGCTATATAATGAATGATCAGACACTCTATATAAGACAATTTCACTATGATATTGTATCTTTTTTATATGGATATATATTTTTTTGTATCTATGTTGGATACTCTCTTGCAAAACGGTTAGTATATTTTTTACCGAGTAAAATTACAACACTTCAAGTTGCCACAATTAAAAACCACCACTGATACGCAGTAATCGATGATAGCAGTTGAAGTGACAATACAGAGTGCGATAATAAATTTGGAAAAAGAAATATTTATTTTAAGGCACAAAACAACATTATTTCATAGTAATTCTTATATATACTTTATAGAATAAACAATAGAACTTTCGGTTGTGGCAACTTGAAGTGCCGCAATTTCATTCGATAAAAATTATGCAAACCGTTTTACAACCGAGCATAATTATTTGAGGATAATTATTCGCAACTAACCACGAAGATAGGACTCAATTAACTTCAGGTATATAGCGTGCGAAAGATATGTTTAACGTAGTTTAATATCGCAAGATAACACGCTCGTACCAATACATTATTTATTGACAAACGACGCAATTTTAATAATCACAGGTTATTTGCACGCTACCAGCTCGTTACTCTTGAGCTTTTTGTTACCATGATGGCCTTGAATTCGGCCACAAGTGAATTGCACGTGCAGCACCTTATGGTTAATTTATTAACCTTACAGTAGTCACATGGGATCTTTAAGAGAATATTATATCCAAAATAGTCTTTTCTTATATTTTACATAAACCTAATTAAACAAAGAAAATACTTAAGTTCTCAACATAAAAGATATAAAATAATGTTTTTTGAGGTCTCTGAAAATCCCATGCGTCGACTCGTGTTCGAAAAGTAGCGCGACGACTGCAGAGTTAAATGCGTTCTCGGAGAATGTCCCTTTTACTACCAATTTTTTTCCCCTTTCCTTTCCATTTGTTCTCCGTCCAGAAAAGAGAATCGAAGTCGAATCAACGAGTCGGGGAATGCCCGACAATTGGACACACATCGAGGGCTGCTCTCGTGACAAACCCGGGTGCAATCGAAAATAATCAAGGAACGTGACTGTCACGTTGTTTGGACACGAGTACTCGAACATCTGCTGCTGGCTCAATTCCCCTGTTGAAAGTTTAGCGTCTATTTAGGCTGAATATCGGCACGCGTCGTCGTTGCGAATGCAGCGCGATATCTAAATGAAACCTGCTTATCATTGGCTAACACGCGACTATCTCGGCCAATACCACTCCGCTCTGAAGAACGTCGGCGCAACACTTCCGCTGAAAGGCGCGGAAAGAGTCGACGGCGTCAGTCGGGCCGCGCTGTCTGTCTGTGCTGGTTGGTGTTGTTCAAGGTCCGCTTCGCGTCGTAACCGCATTGTGACAACGGCTTGCTCGTGCCATATCAACAACGACGACATGGAAGAGAATCAAGGTAGCTAAGCGCACTGAAGATCCTGTTATGCCAATTTCCGAAATCTAATCTCTAACATTGGCGGTATATTTGTATATTCACGGTACGTTCACACACGTCATGGAATTCCCTTCTACCTCACAGTGGTCAATTTGTCCCTGGTGGGACGAGTGCAGGTTCGGGGTTCGAGTTTTTGCTTGTTAGGTTCGAAAATATGGTTATAATAACATAATCATATTTCCAATTTAAGTTAATTAAGTTATTATAATAATTGATTATATTATTATAATAATGTAATTATTATAATCACATAATATATACATGTGAGATATCATTTTGATATAGCTTTTCCACATCTCAATAATTTTGAGGTATTAAGATAAAGTCACTTCACAAGCCAACTCAGATACCTTCTCTCCACGTCAAAGCGAAGATCAACAAACAACGAGCGCGAGTGTTGTCGCTCGTTAATGACGCAGTAATGTTGCAAAATAGCATAACCGTTAGTCAGACTTGGAACAATCGCATCCGAGTTATTCAAAAGCAATTTCATCGCCACGAGTACATCCATTCCATCATCGCCGATGGGAATCCTCGTCGTATTCACGTTCGTCTAAGGTCTGATCTACAATAAATGCCGTGAGAATTGGCCAATCATAGTCTATTATTACAAAAATAATCGGTTATAATTGGCCAATTCTTACGGCTTACGACGTCTATTGTGGATCAGGCCTAAGTGTTAACGCTATATCTATTTTTCGAGAGCGTCGAAAAAGAACTTGTGTTACGCGCGTATTGACTGTTATCAACGCGCGATACTACAAATCGCAAAGAACGCGCCGTCGCAATAGATCTGTCCTTTTTAGCTGAACTGCTTGAATTGATGCAGACTAAAAGTCTGTTCTTTTTAGCTGAACTGTCTGAACTAATGCGTACTGATGCAATAAGTTAGAGTGAAACGAAATATATTTGTCTCGTTCTAATTTATCAATCTGCATCGGTTTAGGCAGTTCAGTTAAAAAGAACAGACCTTAGTATATATTTGTCTCATTCTAACTTATTGCACCAGTTCAGACAGTTCAGTTAAAAAGAACATAATAGCGTGCCGCCACGCGCACACGTCCGCGCTATTTTTAATCTGCAATTTTCGGCGCAAAAGCCGAATTTGCACGTCCGCAGGCCGCGAGTGCACAACGACACCGACATGCTCGTAACGATATTCTAGATTAACAAATGTGCGAGCAGGAGACACGAGAATAAGCGAGATCCAAAGGATAATGATCCAAAGGACAAACTCCAAGCGATCAATCGCTTCACCTGCGCATTCTCTTGCGTGTATTACAAAGAAAATCGAAGTAGCGTGATGCGGGAGAATGAAGAAAGACTGATAACCGAACGGTCACTCGAACAAACTGAGTGCCATGAACTCTTGTACGCGCGTTTGCTCTTTCAAGGTATATGTTAATTACAACGGACGAGCGTACATATTTGCAAGTCACGACTCGTTAAGATACGGCTCTTCGAAAACACGCAAATCTGCATAAAGGAGAATTCACACCTTGATGAAAAAACAGAAAACAAAAAGACAGAAGTAAACCAATTAGTATCCGCGTAGAAAAGCAGAAATTGTCGACTATCACTTGAACTACCAGCGCGAGTTTTGATCAATCAAAGGCAGAAATCAATTTCTACCTTTGTGCTTTTCTGCCAAGATAATGAATTTTCCTTCAAAGTATAATGCGCTACATACAGAGTGTCCACAGAAAAACAGGTCCAATCGTTTCAACTGTGTCCTGCTATCCCTTTCGTTCTTCCTTGTTCTGCGCCTGAAATAAAGCGAAACATATTAGAAATTTGATGAAAGGTAGACACAAATTTTAGCAACACAGAAGAAGGAGAGACACAAATTTCAAGAGTACATATACTATTGTTAAACAATTTAGATCGTGAATTTCAAATAACGATCACGTTTTTTGACTGGTTCGTACAATAGAGTTAAAAATAACAGTTTGAAGAAAACAACATGTTGAACACATTAAAGAGATTATTCTTGCAAATAAATTCCTCAGAAACTTTTGAGCAAAAACTAATTTCAAGAGCACACATATTATCATTAGATGATTTAAATCGCGAATTTCGAACGACAATCTCATCTTTCGATTCGTTTGTATAATAGAATAAAAAATAACGGATTGAAAAAACCCAGACGATATGATGAACATATTAAAAAAGCGAACAATTTTTGCGAACAAATATCAGCAAAAATTTTCATTATTACTCAGTTATATAGTCTGTTCAATTATAATTACACTCGTGCTGCAGTCGCATTCCTCTCTGTTTTCACAAATCTATCTATACAATTTTACAAAGTACAAATCTTGCAATTGCATGCAGTGTCGTAAAAGAGAAGATGAATTCAGGGATTACTTTTGCGAACAAATGTCAGCAAATTCTTTTTAGCAAAAATTTTAATTCAAATTCGATTATACCCATTATACAGCACAAATGTTCAATAAATATCCTAAGCATGTCTTAAGAATGTTCGAATATTCTTAGGATATCTATTGAATATTTGTGCTATATGGGTATAGTCTGTTCAATTATAATTACACTTTGACTCGTGCTACAGTCGCATTTCTCTCTGGTTTCACAAATCTGTCTATACAATTTTACAAAGTACAAATCTTGCAATTGCATGCAGTGTCGTGAGAGAGAAGATGCGGCTGAACGAACGGACGCGATTCACGACACGCTTCTACAATTTTCGACTTTACAAATGCATAAATACGTACGTTCTCATGTAATTGCGAAGACGTATGATGTAAAAAGGTGAAAACGAAAGGAGCAAACACGTTCGATACGAAAATGAACGAGCGACCTTCGTCGGCAATATCGTTAACATTCGCGCGCGGTTCGCCGTGAAGTTCGCGGTGTAATGAATGGAATCGACGCGAACGGCACTGCGGCGCGCCTAACCTAATCTAACCTTACCTCGTGTGCACTGCGACGACCCTGACAACTGCAGTTTTCGCCGGTCCGCGCCGCGCGGTATGACGATAGGTAAGGGGTTGGTTTCCTTCGATTATATTTTATACTTTTCGCACGGAGAATAAGGTCGCTTGAGTGTCGCGCTCGGATATCGAGGGAGAGGTAGGAAAACACCGAAATTTAGCGGGCTCCAAGTGTTCTCTTTAGACACGTCCGATCTCTCTTCTTTTTCTCTCTCTCTCTCTCACACACAGTGATGACTCCAGACGCCTCTAATCGATGTTTAGATAAAGTTTTGTAGCCTTTAGAAGTAATCCAAAGTACACTTCAAAAATTACACAGATCACACTCGGACACGTCGCGGCGGTTAGACCGAAATTATCGTCCTTTCGATCGTTCCTGTTGATCATCCGAGACGTACTTCACTACGTTAAACCGAACTCCGTTGCTGTTGCACAATCGATACTACCAGCGCGCGTTCTCGATCTCGAAGAGTACCTGAAGTGATTAATTTTGTGTAATGCTTACAGAAACCGACGTATCCGCGCTGTGCATCGACTTGGCGAAGGTGAAATCGTTGAATGGCGAATCGCGGAAATCCGTAAGTTTCCTTTACCTTATTATCTCTTCATATTTAAAAGTATTCATTGTACAACAGCTACGCCATTGCTTATGTCAAATGCAAATAGCAAGTTTGATTTACGATAGATGTGGTGTTATCAGAAAAAATATACAAACCAGTCAACATTGAACATCACAACCAGTTACATTACACTATGTTATAATTAACCCAACTTATCAATGTAAATATAACGCTAACAAATGGCATTATATTGCATTTACATCATTGAATGTGAGATTATAACATAGATGTAGGTTGTTTTCCAACAAGAGACACAAGTCGACACAAACATCATTCTATCTTTGTTCTACATTTAATGAGTAACAAAGATAGGATGATACTTGTGTCAACTTATGTCTCTTGTTGGAAAGCAAATGCATTCAACTGATGTTGACTGAGAGTGTTGCGTACAGTGTAAGCACAAACTAAAAATATAGTGTGTATTATTATATTTTGTAAAACTTATTAGTAACTGGTTAATAAGAGAATGACTTTTCTTTTTTATGATTATTTTTAATTTAACCTTTTTATGATTTATTTTTAATCTAACCTTGATAATGCTTTTTCATTTTTAATAATCTTCATGATGCTGTTTCATTTTTAATTATATATTTGTAATTAACCCAATTATATATTAAGTTAATTTAATAATTGTCAAAATTTATTAGCTAACTTAAAATTCACTTAACTATTTGTGCTTAATTTAGTTGATGACAAACAAAACTGCGAGCCACTATCTATAGCGAGTTTACCAAGTAATTGAGATATGCTATCTGGATATCTTTTTATAATAACAGTATCAAAAGATATTTGATAAATGAAATTGATAAAAAAAAGTACTGTTCAAGGAAAATGCTGAGATTAAAATATTAAAATTTTGCTAATAAATTATCGCTTTGCTGGTTACTTGTATTAATGCATGATACCTTGAATTAAATAAATATTTACATGTATTTGTAAGACGATAGGATTATCATTTATATATAAAGCCAAAGGATATATTTTGAGATAATATAAATGTATGTGGATATCGCAGTCTTCAAATTAATTTTTAGTTGGAAAAGACAACAGAAATGTATGTGTATATGTGTGTATGCGTGTGAGCCAATATATAGTAAGAGTTGCATACGTTCTTAAGACAAGTAATCGAGATTATACTTGTATTTTATATTAAATTCATGATAATGCATGGTTGGCTATCTGAACAGTTTACAGGTATGCCCATGGTGTGTGGTTTTATTGAGTTTTGTTCCATCATTCCATCCTGGCTTTTTCATGTTATCACTGATTGGTCTACGAGGGTACAACACACTTCATATTGCTTGTGATGCTTAATTATGTGAGCGGTATGGTCTTCTGACTTTACATATCATAATATTTTTAAGAGATTAGTGAAGTTGCACTCTTAAAAATGTGTCAGACATTAGCAGATATACTATATGAATTATGCATTGTCGTGATCACAGTATCTCTTTTTTCTATTTTTATTCGACTTGAAAATCAGAGAAGAAAGAAAATCTCAATATTCAACAGAACGTGAAATGATAGTTTTGGTATATTGTAACTACTATTTTAGTATAATTCAGTAATGCCAGTAACTACATTCGATATCACAGCATATCGAAACATTTTTATTAATCAGTGTGCAAAGTGGATGATATCAAAGGTTACTATTATGTAATTGGGTCAAGATATGAAATTATTTTCATACATTGTCATAGAAAGACTCATGTCAACAGATGCTGCAAGTAACGTTTATACACGGATTGTGTTAATGTAACTTGCACTGAACACTTGTAACTTTGTTGCTACTTACAACAAGTCTCAAATATCTACAGTGTTAATTTGTAAATTGTGCATTATTCATAAGAGTTGCATTTACAGAGAACCGAGTGTTTCGAATTTCCATTACGTAGAATAAATATTTATTATGCGTAATAAACCATTATTCACCTTTCACTTAAAAGGGATAAAATACGAGATCACAATGTTCGTTTCACGCAGGCTACTAATCTGTACTATTTCTTTTATAGGAAGTACGTAACAATGCCGTACGCGATGCCGAATCTGGTGGATGGACTCCGTTGCTGTTACTGGCTGGTGCCACTTGCTGCTTGGGATCGGCATTACCAGCAGGATATAACATAGGTGTTATGAACAATGCTGCCGATGTTCGTAAACCAATTTGCGACTCTGTCGACTATAATACTGTCTGAAAACTTGTGCTACAGTATATTCGACTTGCAGCTGATGAAAACATTCTGCAATGAGAGTGTCAGGGAAAGATTCGATACGCAAATGTCGGAATACCAGCTCAAAATACTCTGGTCTGCTATAGTATCAGTCTTTCTTATCGGAGGTGTGACCGGATCTTTAGCGGCCAGTTGGTTGAGCGACAGATTCGGGCGAAAAGGCGCGATAGGTACCGGAAATGTCTGCGGAATTCTGGGAGGCCTTCTACTCTTTCTCGTGCCATTCGTAAATTCGGTTGAGCTTTTCTTCATCGGCCGAATTATCGTTGGTGAGTCATGAATTTTTTTCATGAACTTTGCTGCGACCATCTTGACTTACGATGTCAGAAGTGAGGAAATCCGTATTCAAAATTCTTGCAAAGTACGTCGAAGTAAAAAGATATATTCAAGAAATCGATAAATAATATAATATTGTTTATTTATTGTTAGAGCAAGAGAAAAACGTTCGGAGTATTTTAGAGGTGTGCTTAATCGATTGTGCAAGTGTTATTTTTTGGATATATCTTTTGACTTCGATATACTTTGCAGAAATTTTGGGCATTTCTGACGCATCGATCAAGTATTACGCGACGAGGGATCAGGGAACTTAATGTAAGAACACGTTCTGTAGGATTTTCCGGTGGTCTCGCCACCAGCCTGCTGCCGATGTACTTGACGGAGATAGCTCCTCTAAAATTACGAGGTGCTGTTGGAGTTTTGTGTCAATTAGGCATTACATGCGGCGTGCTGATGGGTCAGATCGCCGGGCTCGACAACGTCCTAGGCACTTCCGAGACCTGGAACATCATGTTAGCGTCCTTCGCGCCGCTGTGTGTCGGCGCGTTGTTCTTGATCTTCACTTTGCCAGAAAGCCCGAAATACCTGTATATTATCAAGGGACAGCAGGGCAAAGCACTCAAAGGTACGTGCAATGACTTTACACGCGCGATCACTGTAATGAGTATTCGTAATGTAAGAGTTCCGGCGATCTTTCAGAGCTCAGTCGCTTGCGCAACATGGACATAATGCTCCTGCAAAACGAGCTTGCCGGCCTGCAGAAGGAACTGCAAAAGAGATCGACCACTGAGAACACCTGGAGCATCAAACGCGTGTTGAGCGACCCGACACTGAGGCTGCCGCTGTTCCTGGTGTGTTTCATGCAATTCGGCCAGCAACTCAGTGGAATCAACGCGGTTTTCTATTACTCGAATGCGATACTTCAAACAGCCGGCTTTGATATGACCGAGGCTGAATACGCGACTCTAGGTACAGGCGTCATCAACATCCTGATGGCGATCATCTCTGTGCCGGTGATGTCGTTCTTCAGCAGAAGGAAAGTACTGATGCTCAGCGGTGTCTTGTCCGTGGCATGCCTTATCTTTCTATGCATCTCTATCGTCTTGATGGTAAGTACATTGACTAATCTCGTGAGTAAGTTTTATGAGACGCACCGCCATGTGACCGGTCAACGCTCTCCTCTCTATAGGAAACATCACCTATTGTGGCGACGATTTGCATCGTCGCGATCTTAGCATACGTTGTGTCCTACGGTATTGGTCTCGGCCCCATACCGTATTTCATTGGTTCCGAATTGTTCGACGTGGGTCCTCGGCCGGCCGCTATGTCGTTGGGCAGTGTGTTCAATTGGGGCGGAAATTTCATCGTGGGAATGATGTTTCCAGTCATAGAAGCCGAAATCGGCTCATTCACCTTCCTAATATTCGCCACGTTCACGTTGCTGCTGGTGGTAGTCAATAAGTATGTAATTACGATGCGCGTACATCGCAATATGTACTACACTCTACATCCATGACTTACCTGAAACCTTATTCGTACAGGATATATCTGCCCGAAACGCGAGGACGAAGCACGGCGGATATAGCGGCGACTATGACGGAAGGCTTCAAATCGAGACCGAACGCAACGTAGACTTTTGGCATAAGTACTTTTTTATACGGCTTTTTAACGAGGTACAGGTAATTGTTGCAACGTGACTGATGTTCTTGCGTATTGCTCATAGTTCATCTTGCATGTAGTTCGCGTCGCGACGTTCTAACTTATTTAAGCGACGAATTTATATGCGCGAGCCAACGATTTTCTACACCTGACTATTTGTACAGATTTATACGCTCCGCGAATACCAATCGTATTGCCGTCAGACACGAAGCGACATCGATGCGGTACACGTAAGAATATAAGTAAAGTATCCGATTAAGATTTCTATATTTATATATCTCTCGACGTACATCCAGTTGGAAATTTATCGCAACGATATCAAGCAATGTCACTGCCGATATACGACATCAATTTTATTCAAACAGATTTGCAATACTTAACACCAACAATCTTGAAATCTTACAAAATCTCTTATCTTCACTGCGTGCGTGTGTGTATGTGTGTGTATTTGTGTGTGTGTGTGCGCGCGTGTGCGTGTTGTTTAGTGAGTAAATACAGATTTTATACAAATTCCACTAGCGTCAGTCGTTTTGTGTTCTAAACTTGGCGTACAATTGATCTAGTTGCTCGTAAAACACCAAGCACAGAACTGTATGCGGCGCTATTCTCATCCACGTCGGGAACGTTCCTTTGTACAGGCCGAAGAGACCCTCCGTGCGGAATATTTTCACGAGCGCGTCCACAAGTCCGTTGTACAGGGTGCCTTTTCCGGCCGCGTCTGTCTCTGTATTAGCGCAACATCAAGACCAGTTAGCGACAATGACAAATCAGCATTAAACTCGCTTCGCGCGACAAGCTTTTCATATTCCTCGGTTCATCGAAGCGTAATACACCGACTCCTTCGATTTGAGAGCTGACCCTCTGTTTCTCTCGCTGACCGAATGTCTCATATTATACTCGAGGAGCCTCGTGACTTGTCTTCTATTGAAGACATATTTATAGCCGGGTGTACCGTATTTATAGTCATGCGCCACTATGTCGTATTTATAGTCGCGCATAGCAATATGTTATCGCGTTATCGCGTGCAAAAGAGTACATGGAGCCTCGCCATCCTTCACACATCTCGGCGAGCTCGTCTGTGTGCTCTGTGACCCACCGAATATCCTCGTACAACTCGGCGGATATATTTGTACCGAGACTCCGGGTGCAATCGCGACGGCGAACGTCTGCGTGATCGAAGCACAGCTATGGTACGCGAAATCGCGCGGTCTTCGGTATATCACGCGCTCGATTTAGAAACGCGGTCTGCTCAACGCGCATGCATCTTCACCGTCAAGTTACTCACGTTGATTGTACAGCCGCGTCGCCAGGACGTCGAACGGCTGCATAGTGATGGCCACGCAGCTGCCTCCGATCGCGGAGGCCAAAAAGGTCAACAATATCGGCCGGTCTGGAAATATCTGAGAGAAATTAAGGACGCCACGCCATGCCACGCCACGTAGTGCCGTTTGGATTACTTACATCTAACGAGCGCAGCCAGTCCGATGCTAATCCGAAGGTGGTCAGCTGCGTCGCCGAGCCGACGAACACGCGCGGCATGTTCGCGTTCCATCCCCGGTACAGGGCCGTAACGCCACCCTCCTTCCACAGGGACTTGAACGCGTCCCACGAGCCCGAGTGAGCATGTTGATAGCCCACGGCGATGGATTTCGCGGATTGCGCTTGCAGCTGCGTCTTCACCTGGAGTCAGCGAGCGTCGCAACGTTATTTTAACGCCAAATTCGAGCGTCACGGATACACCGGTGCGATGCGTGCGCGATATCCCCGTCCGCGAGTCTGCGCTTGTAGGCGAAGAAATTTATCCAGATAGCACAAAATTCCAAGAGACATGTTAAAGACGTATGAAAAACGTCTAAATGAAACAACATGCCTGTATATTTATTGTAAAACGAACTCTCAGTTAGAGATCGTTTACACATTCGTTCGGCTTGCTCTGTCGCGGCGAAACTTTTCGAGTGAACGGTCGACGCGATGAAAACTTTCTGTCTCGAGCAGAGGTCGACGAGGACCGCATCGGATATATTTTAAATGGGATAACGGAAAGGCGAGGACTTGAAGACACCACTCGAAGGGATAATCGAGGCATAGAAGAAGAAGCAGAAGAAAATGATGATGATGATGATGATTACCAAGTAGAACGGGCTGCCGAGAACGGCTCCGACGCAGCCGGCGGTGCCGGACACCAACGCGGTTCTCCACACGTTGGTGTTGCCCTTCTTGTCGACGATTAGCTCATATCTTTGCGCGGACTTGTACGCGCCCAAGCGAATACCGTTGAGTACCACTTGGAAGGCTAAGGCGGGCACGAGTCCGGCCTGCAGGGCGAGCACGCCCTCATGCTTGGCTATGAGATACGCAGCGTGTAAAGTATTTTTGTATATCTTCTTGTATGCCCCCCGCGCCTCCAGTTCACCTTGCAATTGCAATCGTACCTTCACGACGTCCACGGGATTCGTGAAGAAACCGGCGCCTACCGCTGCCAATGCGCCGATCGCGAACTCCACACCCGGCCTAACAAACAAACAAAGTTTACGCAACGGACTTAGCGTGACGACGCGTGGGAACTCGAGAGTGTCGCGGAATAATTCTCAAGATATCAGTCGAGATAACAGTCGGGTGAATGCGAATGATTTTGGAATAATTTCAGTAAAAAAAAAAATTATGTTCGCTTTGTTGCTTCTTTTAGCTAAAGCTTGATCTACAATGTGTTCTCTGCTTCCCGTTTTTCATTCTCTGTCTTTTTCTGACATAAGACAAAAAGAGATAAAGAGAAAGAAACAGGAAGCAAAGAATACATTGCAGATCAAATTTGATTTGTGCATTTGCCGTTATAAGACAACACGGATCGCGGCAACTAATAACTAAAATAACTGCTACGTGCGGTTGTCTTGTCGCGTTGGACTTATTACTATGCGAGAAATGTAAAAATAGAAAGATAAAAGAAAGAAAAATTGCATTAGTTATATTTGTCAAACGACAATAATAATTGGAAGTAAGAAGATAACAATTCTCGGCGCAAAATAATAATAGTTCTCAGTAGAGAGCCTTATTGAGGACTGATAATGATGATAATTCATCAATCGATTGCGTCATAATGAATTGAACATCATGAATTTGTAATAAGTTCCACAGCGAATCGTGCATCGATCATTTTCAATGTATCCGTCCGTCTCGAAGAGCGATCTATCGAAATCGATGCGAATTTTCACAATTTCACAAACTGAATTCATACGAATTCCTTTCCGCGATTCGCCTATCTCTCCCACGGATTTGACATATGTATATATATATATCTCTTTTTTTTTAATTCTCTTTCTGTTTCCGTTTCTTAACAATCACGATCGTAAAAAGAGCACTGTGACACTCGCATCCCAGGCATCATTCGAGCACGAGTGACTCCGGCCGGCCGGTCGTTACATAATTGTCATTGATCACGCGCCGTCGTACTAGCTTTGCGACAGACAATCTCGAGTTGCCGACGCGATCAAGCACGGAACAGTGAATAGACACCGCGCTGTTGCGCCCGACACGACAAAGGAGAACGAACGCGAGGCGAGCTTGCTCTCACGTTTTGACCGACTCCCTGCTCATTTCCCAAAAGGTGGAACCAAGGCGACAGAGACAGAGAATGCGAAAGAGAGGGAGAGAGTAAAGTCCGAATTTTCACGCCACTAATTCCGGAGGGCCACGTAGATTTATATTAGACACAGCGCCGACGTCACACCGCGCGTGACGCATTACGGCATACTGATCGCGTCGAAACTCTACACAATCTCTACACAATCGTGCTTTACATCATACTATGTTTACTCGTTGATATCAAGCATGTCGAAGCATATGACGCATGATGACGTTGTAAATTTTTTTGTCTTAGAGCTGACTAATCTTCGATTCGCTGTGGAACTTATTACAAATTCATGATGTTCAATTCATTATGACGCAATCGATTGATGAATTATCATCATTATCAGTCCTCAATAAGGCTCTCTACTGAGAACTATTATTATTTTGCGCCGAGAATTGTTATCTTCTTACTTCCAATTATTATTGTCGTTTGACAAATATAACTAATGCAATTTTTCTTTCTTTTATCTTTCT